ACGCACAGCGTATGTAGTAATCAGGACCGCGCCGGATAACCACCGCCGCACGGACATGCACAGTACGGATCGTCTTATCAGCGTGACTGCGCACGTCGTGGGTGTTGCTATCCCCGGGTGCGTGGAGGGACTACGTCAACGTGATACAGTTGGACGTATACTTCAAAGTCCAACAATCTTCCACAGAATAAGATTCCACAGTCAACTTTCCGAGTTACTCGACATGCGCCTTATTATCCCTAACCCTAACCCTAACCCGTAACCATAACGCCATAAACCCTAATCCTAACCCTAGACCCTAACCTAAACCTGATCCTAACCTAATCCTTAACACTTTAGTGCGCTGGCACAGTGCCAGGCGTACTGTCCTACCACGCCGGGTGATAGCAATTTCCCGCACGTCGTGACGGAGCACGGATGCAAGCGACAAAAAGCGGTCTAACGAATGCTGTAAATGAACATCGCAGCACCCGCGCTGATGAAGTCTGCGTGAAGAGCCTCCGAGGGCTCGGCACCCATTGGCTGCCGTTCCAGACTGTTTTGAACGGCGCAACATCATGATAAGTGTACGCTAGTCCGATGTTTAGAGAGCGAGGCCCGACGCTGCGCCGCAGTATATTGCTGCCGGCCCGACACGGACGAAATAGGCCGTTACCATAAATAGGACAGCCTCTCTCGGAGATACATCTGCCCCGTCGGTCAACTGAGCAGAGGTCAGTGTTCGTACATTCGCGGAATACAGTGTGCTGTCTGTACGACAAGTGGTCATAACAAATAAATATAACCTATATAAAAGCAACGGAACGTATAATAACTATGGAAGCAATAGTTTCATATTCATTACTATAATTATAAGTTATGAGGCGAACTAAGAATATTTGGCGAACCGCTCCAGGCAATATAAGTAATTATATAAATAAGATAAAAACAATATATATATATATATATAGTATATATTATTATGTAGTAGTATAGATAGATAAGTTTGTAATTTGTTGGGACTTTTTTTCGCGTTGTGTTCGCGTTTGCCGGCGACCTTGTACATTTTCTGGTCGCCGTACGGTCGCGGATGGTCGCCGTCCTGTGTGACGGGGGTATAAGCCGGTTCGTGACCAAACTGTTCCAGGCAATCACGCATTAATACTAATTAATATAAGTAACGCTTCTCATGCCCCCCGCTAAAGGATGTGTGTGTTGGAACGCAACACTCTGAGAACTGGGGGAGGCAACAACCTTTGATCTAATTTAATACAATTTCTATCACTTAAAGCGCACCATCACTTATATTAACAAACAATGCTGCTAAACTAATTTCTCTTATTTTTCAGCTTTATACGGCTACGCACCTGTGTAACCCGTAGGTGGCGCGTCAGTTTATAAACGCCAACGGGGACACTCTTTCTTGCGTTTCCGTGCAATCATTACTCATATGTAAAATTTTATTGCTGCTAGCATAAGTCGTGCTGGAACGACGGCGACGTAGCAGAAAGCCCGTTATCTACTGAGTTATATTAACTTTGCGGAAATATCGATTGCTATTTCTAGCTAAACTATCCGCCGACACCTGGATCATTCACAATCACACCAACGGATGCAGCCAGCGGTCTGTACACGTTCAACTTTCCTGATTGGACAGATGATTTTAATGAGATTGTGAGCAAGACGATATTAGGTAACGCTACCTGACGGTGATTTTAACGGTCAACTTTATTTCTAATATTTTTATTGTGTGTATTTACAGCATTCTTGACTTATTATTAGTTCTAGTTTTTATGTTATTTTTATTAGTTATATCTATTATTATCTCATCTTATTATTAGTTTATCGATTATAGTTAGACCAAACATGCACACACTTTAAGTAGCAGTTACATTAAAGTAATTCCGAGTTACTGTTTAGGGTACTGTGGGTTATTTATTGCCACAAAGAATATTTTTGTATTGGTGGAGAGATGCGAAAACCAATGCTCATATTTATAATCCAATGCACATGTATACAAATTCATGCACGTGTGAATATCAGAAGGGTGCCGTGGCGCTCTTCCGGGGCGCGTTGTTACCTAGAAATTCTCTAACATTGGGTCATATGAACTGTCTACTGCCATCTGCGATGCACACAGACATAATAATATAATATGCCGTATAAGACACCTGGTGGACTAGTAACTGGTACATTCGTCATTCTGCTAGCTATACGTTATAATATTGTTGTGCAACATTAACAACCTTTGCTGTTTTCCATCCCGTGCTCGGTCGCAGTGTCACATCCGGGCAGCTCATTGAAGACTGCTGTCTGCGTCGGTGAAGGTAATATGGAACAGATCGAGTGCTTCGTGCCCCGTGGACACATAGCGAATGATCACAACATCGAGCTGTACCTCACCGTGAAGGATCGGTTTAAAGCCACCACGGAACTTCCCGGCGGCACGATCGTGGTATTCTCATCAGTGTGCAATTTGCTCCATCATGAACTCCAGTGAGGTGTGCGTGCGTGTATGGCAAGCCATTTGTATCATAATTCGAGAAACCACGGTTCCTCGCACGAAACCAGGTTTCGTGCTCACAAAACCTAGTTTCTTGCTCAAGAAACCAGGGTTCTTGCCATGAAACTAGGTTTCGTGGCACGAAACATGGTTTCTAGCCCTATAACCGCAGTTATAGCTGGAATCTTAGTTTCGTGAGCAAGAAACTAGGTTTTGTGAGCACGAAACCTGGTTTCGTGCGAGGAACCGTGGTTTCTCGAATTATGATACAAATGGCTTGCCATACACGCACACGCACACGCACACGCACACG